CAATCACTTCTGTTGCCACAGGTGTATAAAATCAAGCATATTGACATGCAGACTGTTGAACAAACATTTGTGAAAGAGTGGGTAGCTCTCAGGAACTTGAAGCTGTGATAGGATGACATCGTTGCAACAAGTCCAGTTATGAATTTTCCTCGCTACTAAATATTCCACATTCAAATGTTTGTTGAATCTAAATGAAATGGAAGTGTTTGGGAATGACGGAGTAGTGTAAAGAGGTCACCAACTTTCTGCAGAGTCCCCCTCCCAACTTTAAGTGGCCTTCAGATTAGCTCAAGAAGTTTGGTTTGTGGAATGGGTTTCCTCTTAGATTTAGTCTTCTTTTTACTGTTCAGGACAAACTTTTTTATTAGTTTTAGTCACATTTTAGTCATTACGATATGTGATTGTTTTATTCGGCTTTAGTTGACTAAAACTCAAAAAAGGTTTTAGTTTTAGTCAGTTTTATGTTGTACTTCATAAAACAGATAACCTTTACAATTTCAAATAACAACCCGATTCTTTGGCAGACTGACAGCTCTTGCCTATATATTACAATTGCTGGAGATACAACGCTGCTGTGCAGCTCATCGTTGCTGTTGGGCAGAAAACTGATTTATAGAATTCAAATAATCCTTTTTTGTGAATTTAATGCCCTACTTTTTTAAAAAGTGTCTCGCAAAAGTTGCAAAAATAGCAGATCTAGTTCAACACATCATATTGGTTAACATAGCAGACAGACAAGCAAACAAAATGTACAATAAATGAATTGTTTTAGACATACAAGGTTTCCATTCAAAAGCAAACACTTCCTGATCTACTATGAATTATGCATTACACACAGATCAATAAAATCTTAATTACTCCAGAAAAAGCAAAGAATCAAAATTACTGTTCTTCCTACTTTGGCAATTTTGGCTTTATTTCTAAGAATTTGCCCCTTGATTACCACTGCTTAAGGGTCAAAGTAGATTTAGAGTTATAGGAGTCAAATAAAAAAAAAATGGAAACTACATAACTGCCTTATAATGCCATGGTAATATGTTAACTAAAATGGAAACAAGAACTATGAGAGGGAAATATTCAAAAAATCTATGTACTTTTTCACCTGGCTCTTTATCAAAAAATAAACAGCATGCAATGAAATATTTTCTTTGGATATAATTTAGGGATTCGTTTTGGTAGAAATTCAGAAGATTTTGCATCACCTCTTGTGAGCTAGAAAAAATAAAATCTTAATAGTTACACGAAATGATTTTTTATGCTTGGCAGAGGATGATCAGCCACATATAGTTTATTAAGAAGCGAGGGCAGGAAGAGCTACACTGCTGAGAGCGAACTATCAGTTTGGAGAGCAAAGCTCAGACTCTGACTTACGCACATGCAAATATGCATTTCTGTAGAAGCACAGCTGGAAGTGCAGAGTTTGTCAGAGTTCAGTGTGCAGCACCAGACCATTTCAGCTTATTTTCACGCCTGTTGCTGCTGCCATGACCCATCTGTGGTCATGCAGAATGTGCACCGCTGCACGCTAGATGGGCTATTTAACCAAAAAAGACTTAGCTGCACGGTTGACACTCCTTAGCAAATTAAAGCACAAAGATGCATTTTAAACATTTGCAAGTGTCACGTCAAATCATGCTTTGGGTATGTTTTACAGCAGTCGGGAAGATGGTGGAGGAGAGGATGAATAGTGCTAAATTTAGGAATATTTTTCAACCACACCTGTCATCCTGCCTGTGATTTGAGACTGGGATGGAGGTTGAACAAGACATTGACTCAAAGCATCATTTTTAAGTAACACTTTGTTTTAAGTGGAAACATTTAAATGTGTTGGAATGGCTTACTCAAAGTCCAGACTTTAATCCAAGTAGGAATCTGTGGTTAGAACTGAAGATTGTTGTTTTCATGGTTTATAATTGTGGATCAACATGTAGACTAAGGCTTGGGGAAGGCATTTTAAACTTGAGGACTTAAATGAAATAAACTGCAAACATCAATACCCAGGGTGAGGAGAGTGAGGCATAGGACAGGCAAACGGGGTATTGAAACCAGAGACAAAATAAAAACTAAGAGAGGGCTCAACATAGAGCAGAGAACGAGGAATGGAACCGATTAACTAACTGAAGGCGTTTAGCTGAGTAAGAATATAAAATAGCCTTCAGCGGCTTTCACATGCCGTATGCTCTGTCGCTTAGCAAACGTGACAGTGGATACACAAAGCAAGAAAA